TCTGTGACTACTAACTTTACTGTGTAATAGTTAGTTTATTTATCTCAAGGAATAAAAGCATCTGTATCTTAAAATCATGTCCAATTCTCCATGGAACAAAATCACTTTATGTTCATTATCTGAATTAAACATGAGCCGTTAGTTAAGTGGCATCAGATTCCTTATGTCGTGGACGAAGCAAGCAGGGCAATGATTGCTAATAGCAACCTATCATTAGGACCAAATCTTACTGATTGCTTTGTGTTTACTAGTTGCTCTGGCCAAACTATATCGTCAGGTCCAAATTGAGGAGCCCAGAAAGCAGTGCTAACCGACCTCCACAATTAAGTATTAGTTCATTTTGCGCCATAGCATATGACTAGGACCAATCATATGGGCATGCTGGAACTACTCCTAAAATATGTTGCTTTCAGAAAGGGACTTTGGATAGAGTTGATCTGTATGTTTCAACTATTTCTTAAGAAAAAAAACACAACCTGCTGACATAAGGATGAAACATCACACGCTCAATACCTAAAAGATTTCATGACCTAGCTAGCTAGCACTTGCTTATTGGAGGCGTTGAAATTAAAAAATAGTTGATGTGTACCTATCCTCCTTTGCAAAGGGCTATGTGTCGACTTGGATGTGGATTTGTGAGGGTGCAGCAAACCTGATGATTGGATGAAGTAGGTCTAGTAACCAAAAAAATTTAAAGTTTTGTTGATGAACTTGATTAATATGCAGTTTGTTCATTGCGTAATGTGAGATAAAGTAAGTGATCCTGACCGATGAAGATAATTGTCAAAGAGCCATCATCATGTAGTTATTAAACGTGAAAAGTATGGGCTGACAAATCATGGCTTGACACTTCACCATACAACAATTGTGTTATCTTACTAGCATGTTCCAATCAGCACAGCAAACGTAATCACTGGTCAGAGATACTTGATCCTGGCTAATCTGTGTTTGACACCCATATATGTTTCCATGTTTCAGTGTCTACAAATGAATGAATGAATTAAATGAATGAATGAATGATAACATCAGTCAATTCGTAGTTACCCATCATCGTGTACGTGTGTAAATAGAACAGTCTAGATTCACCTGTATTCTATGCAGACGCAGGAATTTACTCTATTTTCAAGTTTCTGGTCTTATTGTCAGATGCAGTCAGCAGGCTTGTCATCTCTGAAGAATCTCTGTTCATACTCCTCTCAATCTCAGGCCTGAGCAATTTCACATTGTGGTACTGTATTAATCAAATGAATGACAGGCGGCAAGAAATTAAAGAATAAGAAAGGCCAGAGGCATCACTGGTTAGAATTCAGGACATTAAAATAGCCCAGGTGAATCAGTTAGACGACGATGATCTTAATTTACCGGACGAACTAAAGAAAATGGTTTAATCGAGCATTCAGGCCTAGAATTAGCTGAAAATGACGCTCATCGATCAGTGGGGTGTGGGGTGATGTCATCAGGGTATATATGCGCCCTCGAACGATGAGTTGTCAGTCACTATACAACCTTTAAAGTTTTTACAACCTTTTGTAAAAGATCTGATGAAGAGAAATAGATTTTCCGGTAGGTCGCATCCACAGCATTTGCTTGACATCTGTGTGACAGGTGACGAAGGGATAAAAGTTCATAGTGATGCTAATCATCATACTGAAGGAGTAAGTATTAAACATATGCTAGGATTTTTGTTTGCTGTCAGCTGTTCTAAGAATTGGAGGTCGCAGACCATTTGCTGCATTGGTATGTTGTAAATAAAAGACTGAAAGCTAAATGATGACCTCTCTATGTTCACAAGTCAATTTACGCGTGATACCAATAGAAATGCAACATATAAGTATATTCCTTCTATGCCTAACAATAAATATATAAATATATTTCATATACAACTATATTAACTTAATTAATCTATATCTAAATTATAATTATTAGAATGAATTCAATTCCAGGGATCCAAACGGGTCCTAAAGGAAAATGTTAGATTGTAGTTTATGCAACTTTTCTTCTTCTTGTATTTTGTTTGGTACAGGACCACCTAACTATGGAGAGACATATTTTTTGTTTCAATTTATTCTTTTGAGCAAGTAAATAAATATAAACTGAGATATAAAAGCCCATCGAGCTTGTTCATAAACTTTATCTTGAAGCAAGATTTGACATTGATAAAATGAAGGAAAAAAACATCCTAGTCATCAATAAATGAACTTGTGCCATGAAGTCCACCAAGGTATAGTACGGTGATAACTGATGAAATTAAAAAGGAAAAAAATACCCCACCAACACACACATTGACACATACACACAACATTCTCTGAATTCTAAAAAAATCTGAATTCTTTCACCAACCTAAGAAGTATGCCATGGTGGTAACGCATCAAATCGAAAAATGACAGATGCTTTTTCCCCCAAATTATTTTTTTCTCCATGTGCCTAAAGTGCATTGATTAATGCAATAGTCCTACCATCGAAACACAGAATCGCATGGGGCCCTGAGGAATTCCTTGCCAACGAATAGTTTTTCAGATATATACTATATACAAGCAGCATAATGAGGAAGAGGGAAAATTCCAGATATTGTATCAGAGAGAAAGGGAGATATCAGAAATATGGTATGCAATTTGTCAGTGCTTGAGCACCTACCCAAACCCAAGAGATTGTAGAATCGTTATCCCTGCTGCTTAGATTTTTTTTTTCTGTGACTACTAACTTTACTGTGTAATAGTTAGTTTATTTATCTCAAGGAATAAAAGCATCTGTATCTTAAAATCATGTCCAATTCTCCATGGAACAAAATCACTTTATGTTCATTATCTGAATTAAACATGAGCCATTAGTTAAGTGGCATCAGATTCCTTATGTCGTGGACGAAGCAAGCAGGGCAATGATTGCTAATAGCAACCTATCATTAGGACCAAATCTTGCTGATTGCTTTGTGTTTGCTAGTTGCTCTGGCCAAACTATATCGTCAGGTCCAAATTGAGGAGCCCAGAAAGCAGTGCTAACCGACCTCCACAATTAAGTATTAGTTCATTTTGCGCCATAGCATATGACTAGGACCAATCATATGGGCATGCTGGAACTACTCCTAAAATATGTTGCTTTCAGAAAGGGACTTTGGATAGAGTTGATCTGTATGTTTCAACTATTTCTTAAGAAAAAAAACACAACCTGCTGACATAAGGATGCAACATCACACGCTCAATACCTAAAAGATTTCATGACCTAGCTAGCTAGCACTTGCTTATTGGAGGCGTTGAAATTAAAGAATAGTTGATGTGTACCTATCCTCCTTTGCAAAGGGCTATGTGTCGACTTGGATGTGGATTTGTGAGGGTGCAGCAAACCTGATGATTGGATGAAGTAGGTCTAGTAACCAAAAAAAATTACAGTTTTGTTGATGAACTTGATTAATATGCAGTTTGTTCATTGCGTAATGTGAGATAAAGTAAGTGATCCTGACCGATGAAAATAATTGTCAAAGAGCCATCATCACGTAGTTATTAAACGTGAAAAGTATGGGCTGACAAATCATGGCTTGACACTTCACCATACAACAATTGTGTTATCTTACTAGCATGTTCCAATCAGCACAGCAAACGTAATCACTGATCAGAGATACTTGATCCTGGCTAATCTGTGTTTGACACCCATATATGTTTCCATGTTTCAGTGTCTACAAATGAATGAATGAACGAATGAATGATAACATCAGTCAATTCGTAGTTACCCATCATCGTGTACGTGTGTAAATAGAACAGTCTAGATTCACCTGTATTCTATGCAGATGCAGGAATTTACTCTCTATTTTCAAGTTTCTGGTCTTATTGTCAGATGCAGTCAGCAAGCTTGTCATCTCTGAAGAATGTCTGTTCATAGTCCTCTCAATCTCAAGCCTGAGCAATTTCACATTGTGGTACTGTATTAATCAAATGAATGACAGGCAGCAAGAAATTAAAGAATAAGAAAGGCCAGAGGCATCACTGCTTAGAATTCAGGACGTTAAAATAGCCCAGGTGAATCAGTTAGACGACGATGATCTTAATTTACCGGACGAACTAAAGAAAATGGTTTGATCGAGCATTCAGGCCTAGAATTAGCTGAAAATGACGCTCATCGATCAGTGGGGTGTGGGGTGATGTCATCAGGCTATATATGCGCCCTCGAACGATGAGTTGTCAGTCACTATACAACCTTTAAAGTTCTTACAACCTTTTGTAAAAGATCTGATGAAGAGAGAGATTTTCCGGTAGGTCGCATCCACTGCATTTGCTTGACATCTGTGACAGGTGACGGAGGGATAAAAGTTCATAGTGATGGTGATCATCATACTGAAGGAGTAAGTATTAAACATATGCTAGGATTTTTGTTTGCTGTCAGCTGTTCTAAGAATTGGAGGTCGCAGACCATTTGCTGCATTGGTATGTTGTAAATAAAAGACTGAAAGCTAAATGATGACCTCTCTCTGTTCACAAGTCAATTTACGCGTGATACCAAAAGCTTCTGGAAAGTGTTACCAACGCAGTGCTGTATGTCTCAAGGGGACCGTCAGCAGATATTGCTAACTGGATGCATGAGTTTTCAGTTGTCAGATGTTGAGTCCTATGCAAAATTAGCTGACTACTCAATCAAGAGTCAAGAACGATGCATTAGTCAGGTAACAAAAGATGAAACAAAAACTGTACGGACTAGCTACAACACCTTGTTGCAAAGAAGCCAAGGTTGGCACTCAGTAAAACGATTTACACAGGCTGGGCACTGAGTAAAACGATTTTACACAGGCTGGGCACGGAGCCAGAACCTTTCTTCAGATACTGCCCCGGCCCAAATACTGCATTTTTCCCGGATTTCTGGTATGTGCCTTCAGTTAAGGCCTCGGCACCTCGTTCATGCTAAGACCCATCCCCTTGTTATGTACAAACTGGAAAACCTATCTAGTTGCCACTGTTACATGGCCTGGCTGGCATCTGTTAATAGCCTCCATCTGAAAAGAAAATCTTCTCTAAGCTTCAGCTCCCACTTAGATGACTCTTGTATTTGCTTTGCACGAGGCTTAGCAGGAAGTCAGTAAATATGTGCTCATATCCTGGCATCTTGCCATATCCTGCAGAATTTAAGCCATAACAATAACAATCAGGAAACACGACACTGTAACAATATCGCGCTTTGTTTCGCAACATATATGCTTTGAGAGCAATTCTGAAATGGTAAACAAGCTTATGCAACAACAGATTTGTGAACAGATCTTGAAATGTACAACTTTATCCAAAAGACGTTGCTATGATCTCATGTAAAATAAAGCCAAACATGTGAATTCGTCTAAATCATCATGTTTTATGTATCTTTAAATTTCACCCAGAAACACATATGTAGCTAAACATGTGCATAACATGGCACGCTGGCCACTGCAGGTCTGTGGGGTTGGATACTAAGGGGGCTACCCAGGCTAGAACAATGCAAGGCCAGCAAGTTTGGTTAGCTGGGCCAGCCCCTAAGCCAGGTTTGAATTGTGCAACAGAGACCAGATAGCCTGGCTCTATCAGAATGAGAAATTGACAATTTATTGGGGGCCTGGCCCGGCTTGTGCAACTTGGGCCTCCACCCCTGGCTCCACTGCCTGTACAGATGCCTAGCCAGCCCACAAAACAACCCACCAAACACTACCTCAAGCAATGCAGTCTAGGATGTCTACCCATGACCCAACCAAACATACCCATTTTGCATGAGTAACCAGGTCTTGGCTGGCCTGGCCAAGGGTCCTAACCTGGCTAAGGTTAGGCCACCCATCCAACCATGTCTTATACAAATGCAGCCATAGCAGTATACCCAGCTACTACTATATAATAGCTATATGATGTCAATAAATCTTATCAAAATAAACATTTACACCTGAGACATACACTGAAGGGAAATAAATTTCATCTAACAAGAGAGCAGTCATGAAGAAAGTTAGAGACTCCACAAACTGCACCCATTATAATTAGCCTGTGTGTGCACAAAAACACACAGGAGGGAAGTAGAGGCAACAAACAATCTTGAAAAGAATAACTTACCAGGAAAATAGTTGATGTCAATGACATAGTACCGATCCTTTCTTCCATGTTCTCTAATCATATCTATGTTAAAGAGTCTAAGACCCTGATAAATTTTACAGTGTCAGGTGAGCTAATCAATGTCAAGAGTTGCATATTGTTAATATGAATGAGATTTACTCATACCAGTCGGCGTCGAAGCTCCCTGCCAAGTTTCTCTAGAAGTGGCTTTGGAGGAAGTTCTGTCACATGAGAAATTAGTGTCATCAGTTAAAACCATAAAATTAACAGGGAAATTAACAAGTACACACCTCTTCTAAGAGACTGAACAGCTTCAATACAATATTTTTAACGGACAAAAAAATCATAGAGGTCAATCATTAGGTGAAGCAGAATGCAATAGCTTAAACCAATGAAGACTTTAAATTGATTTTACCGGCACAGAAGCATTACCTGCAATACAAGGGTCAACATCTGCATCTTCTGCATTATTTGTAGCACAGGAAACTCTTGGGAATCGAAAGATGCCGTCATTGTTTCCCAAGTCATATGTGTTGACATCAGGAAGTGAAAACCTGCGGACAACCTGTATTGTTTCACCAACAATATATACCTTAAATAGGATCCCACCTGTACAGACAACAATATCAGTTTCAGCATAGATCAAATATTTTTGCAAATACATACAGGAGAAGAAATAAATGTTTACCATGATTGACGAATTCCTGGAGAACCAAAGGAGGATCAAGCAAAGGCAACGATGCTTCCACATACGCAAGGGATAGCTCATGAGATTTTGATGTTCCATCAGCGACCAATGGTTTGGCAACTGCAAAACAAGGACTATTGTTTACACCAGAAACTTCCAGGATTTTACCCTGTCATGTTCTGAATTGATACAACTTATGAACAATAACAGATAAACATAGGCAAGCTAGAACCAAAAATAAATGGAGGTGAAACTTAGGCATTACAAGAGATCTTTCAAACGGCCTTCAAAATTAGTCAAGTTGGAAATGGAGGTAAAACTTAAATGCTTACAAGAGAATTCTTCAAACCATATGTTGTCGCATTCTTAGTTAGTTGAATTGGAAAGAATAATGGACGAGAGCAATTTTGTAACAGCAAATATCCCTGTTACACTCTATAGCCAGACTAGCCTCACCTACATTCCCATCTAATTACTCACCTGGTAAACACTAACAAGCTAGCATGTAAACCAATTTGAACAAAAGATTTGAAATAATTCTACATATCATTGACTCAAAAAACCCCTAGAGATTGAAACTCTTAATTAGTTTGATAATTGCATCTTTTCCTTGACATGAAAACCAATTTGAACAAAAGATTTGAAATAATTCTACATATCATTGACTCAAAAAACCCCTAGAGATTGAAACTCTTAATTAGTTTGATAATTGCATCTTTTCCTTGAAAGGTACACTTTGCATACAGCAATGAAGCACACAAAGAAAACAACAGGAATAGACCTAATTCAAAAACAAAGAGATAGATTAATTATACATCTAATAGCAAATCACCAAAGGAAGACTAGCTCTAATAAACTCATAACAAAAAAATTAAAGCCACTAATTCTAGATCATCGTAACATCAGGTCATATTTTACTCAAAACACATAAATTTCTGTCAACGGCTCACTTAAAAAACAACTATTTGTGCCCCTATTGTAAAGTTGAGATGCTCTGGTGTAAAAAATATTCCAGGATAGGCTCAATGAATAAAATTCTATGTGTAGTACATTTTCGGAGTTCATATTTTTCTATATAATATTCTCAGGTCTTTCCTTTGACAAGTAACATGAACATAATTGGAAGGTGTGAATTACTCACCCAAAGGCAAGGTTAGTCCAGCCTTGGCAACTGCATTAGGTATGGAAGACGGATCTTTCATGATGACTAGTTGTCGTGGAGCGCAAACCTCACCTACAATAATTTATCACAAGAAATAATAAAGAGAAAAGCTCGAGATATTATTTCCCCAGAACAAAAGGTACATAACTCATCCAGCTACATGGCAATATAAGAATAGTAATTTTACATTTTAAGCAAGCAAGAGAATCATTATGAATGTTCAAAAGTAGAGCTATCCAACTAAGCAGTGTCTCTGATCGCAAGCCAATACAATTATAGTTTCCAAAAGAATACCAATAATAAAATTGACTAATTAGGATTTCACCTAATACCAGTTAAATTTAAGAGAGCACATCAACAATTGCACAGTTCGTTTCCTCATTATTGTGTCTTTGCAATGGTGCCCCCTCTCCCTCTCTAAGGATTAGTAGGGTCACTGTTACTATGTTACTCTAGTCTAGATCACAACATATCAAATTAACTTACACTAAAAGAATATAACAAGAGCAAAGATAGCTCATCACCAGTGGCGGATCTAGAAATACAGGTTAGGAGGGGCTTATTCTTCTTAATTTCTACACTTAGCCTCTCCTTCTAAAGTTCAATGGCTATAAATTTATAGCAGGGGCTTAGGAGGGGCTCTATGCATCCGGCAAAGGTAGCGGGGGCTCGAGCCCCGGCCGCCCCGGTGCTGGATCCGCCCCTGCTCATCACATAAATTTATTTGCTAATACATGAATGCCAACACAGTAAGAAAAATTACCATAACCATTGGACAAGTTCAAATCAGCAACTTCTTGTAGCATTGATTGGCGATTGTGCAAATGTTGGATAGCATTTGGTGGGTCGAGGACAGTCACTTCTGGATGCTCTTCACGATAGTCCTTCAAGAATATGAAAAAAATTGAATTGCAGAGGAAAACACAATAGTCTACATTAAGAATGTTTAATGTGAAAGTACTGCAGTAAGTCTCATAATGTTGCAATCATGCTTTTAACTGAAACATAATGCCTAAATGCATGTTGCGAATAGAAACAACTACACGAGAAACATAATAGTAGCTACACAGGATGCACACCCTGTTAGGAGGTGTACACAACTATACATGGCATAAAAGAAGGCTTCCACTTTGGTCCTCAGAGCTTACCTCCAAAACTTGCTGCCACTCCTTACTAGTAAGCTGACAAAAAGAAAGCATGAAATTTGAAATTCAGTCAAAGCAAACAAAATCAGCATGGGAGTACAAAAGCAGAGAAGTGCATCTGGATGTTCAAAAGAACCTATGCAAGAAATAAAGGATAACCAAAACTACAATATCCAAGATTTAATTTAATGAACCTCAAGAGAAAGACAGGGATGGACCTTGTGCAAAATGATGTCAAATGGACCTTGTTCAGAGAGAGGGCAGGTTTCATCAATTGATACGAACTGAATGCCTTTCTTCCTAAACAAATGCAGCATTACAAAAGGCTCATCAAATGGTATAAAATCAAGGCAAGTAAGAGTATAATGATCATATTAACAAGCATGAACTAGTAGGATCATCTAAAAGCAACAAATGAAAAAATATTCAGGCAGCTTCAACACTTCAATATAATAAATAAATATTTATGAAACTGGAGTAGAAAGGATCATCACATCTTGGAAACAAATTTTTAGATTTCCTGTGTTACGTAGGCTCTACTTGATTTTGAACAAGGAAACCAAGAAATAATATATAAACCTATTCAAAGTAAACTTAAGGTTGAGTACTGACAAAATAATATAGCCTGTTTTTGTATGATCTTATATCCCTGTAGCAACCTCAAGCCACATATAATCAAAGTTTCATAATAAGCTTTGTTGATTCAGAAACTTCATGTTCTTCCAATATAATAAAGAATAATGCACCATAAGCATCCAACCTTTCCTATTTTCAAGTACATGACTACATGAGACATCATAATTTTAATAAACAAATCTAGAACAATAAACATAGTTGATTCAGAAGTCAAATGCTTGAGAGACTTAGTGAAATACGCAAAATTTATACAAACTATGCTTCAAAAGAACAAACAACAACAACAACAACAACAACAAAGCCTTTTAGTCCCAAGCAAGTTGGGGTAGGCTAGAGTTGAAACCCAATAATTCTCTTCTCTTCTCACAGAGAAAACAAAGATGTCCCTGTTCCAATTATTTCATTTCCTTTTTCCACCATCTTTTATCAATGTGAGCACGCACCAAGTCTTTGTCAAGTCATAATATCCACATTGTAGTATAATTTGGGTCTTTCTTAATTCAAGAAGTTTTAGACTTTGCCAAACAGCCAGGCAGATTATTTTGGTCATCTGGTCATTTTAAACACATATCTAAGACATGTGATGTAGTTATCCACAAGAATATTCCAACATGAGAATCCAAGATGCCATCCAAATGTAATTTGCATATATAAAATTAGATGGATACTGAAAGCTTGAATTAGAATTAACATTTGACGAGCAAGCCTCCCAGACTGCTTCCAACACTAGTAAAATAATATGCCCCCCAAGTCCAAAGCTATGGAAACTCATGCAGAAGCCACTAGGCATGCACTCAAGTGTGACGAGATCGGGTCCACAGAGAATACGCAGTCAATTCCATCCCATTCCATCCAAAACCACAGAAATTAAAACAGTTAACAATAAAATGAGTTCCCCCCAATTCGTACCCTACTGAATCAACAAAATTCACTTCCCTTTCGAGGATTAGTCCAACAAGGGTAACAACATAGTCTGATCAGAATGCAGATAGAACATTTAATAAATTCCCCACCCACCCAAAGTCTATAACCACCATTTCGTTTGCGTTGGTCCAGAAAAAATAAATGGAACAGAAACCACATCCCTATCAGTCAGTCAACCAAATCGGCCACCACAGTCCACAGCACCCCACACGCCTCTTCTCCTGGGGGGAGAGAACCACACAAAAGATTCCAGGCTTTGACGCGGGGGAACAGCGGGTCTCTTCTTTCTTTACCTGGCGAGCGCGAGCAGCTTGGGCTGCAGGAAGCTCTTGACCTTCTTCTTGGTGAGGGCGTACCCCACCACCAGCGGCTGCGGCTGCTGCCCCGCAGCGGAGGCGGGCGGCGGGGACGAGGGCAGCACCGTCTCCCCGACCACAGTCACAGCCGCGGCGGCGGCCTCATCGTCCGACACCTCCCCGTGCACCCTCATCCCCGCAAACCCTAACCCTAACCCCGTCGAGGAATGGCAATGGAACCGCCCCCCAACGAAAAAATACCTCGAAAAATCGGAGAAAATCCAGGAAAAAATCGGCAGCGATCGGGGGCAAGGAATTCGCGGACAGGGACGGTTCAAGATGGAAGATTTTAGGAGTGGAGGGGATAGGAGCAGAGAAGATGATTTTTTTTTTCGCACAAAGTGTTTCTTGTTTCTTTTCTTTTTGGAGCTTTGCGTTTAATGGCGAGGCGAGTGTGAAGAGAGAGAAAGCGAAGTCTAGAGAAGAAGCAAGCGCAACAAGCGCAGGGAGAGCGGGAGGGTATTTGTAGATGACGAAGGGGGAGCAACAACAAGAGCACGGCACGGCCCACAGGACTGCTGCTCGGATCCTCTACGGCTGCCCACAGGACTGAGCAAAAAACGTCTTCTTATCCTCGTGCGGATACATGAGTGACTTATACTCCCTTCCTACCAAATTGTAACTTGTTGTAGCTTTTTTTTTCTAAATATCATTTGTTATGCACCTAGACATACATCATGTCTATATATATATATAATAAAAGCTATGTATCTAGAAAAAGCCAGAACCACTTAGGGCCTGTTTAGAAGACGAGAAAAAAATTCGTGTTCTTGCGTTTTCCGGTGGATTTTTTTTTACGAAAGTTTTTTCTATAAAACTGAACTGATTCGTGTGAATTCGTGCGTGATTCTCGTGAAATTCCTATGTTTCAAATATACACTTACAACTTGGAACGGTGGGAGGATTATAATACCAAACTTACTTATCCTATATATTATTATATGTTCATCCATTTTATAGTAAAATGAAACATACTTTGGTGCATTTGAGAAACATATATTTGCATAGAATAAGATAGTAAATTGAAATGGTACAAATATGCAACATCTCTTCGGAGGCAAGAGGGAATTGTTGTTTCTCTAATTCAAGTTGTAAAATTTACAAACATGTTCGAGATAGGGGAAAAGGTTTTTTGTCAAATATAAGTACGGTTGCTAGACTAGTTGGTCAAGCCTCCGGGTGGCGTCCACCGTGACCAGAGTTCGAATCCTTGGTCAAGCAAATTTCTGGTTGGCGGTGCAGAAAAAAAAAACCTCCTCGCTTGTCCCGCGCTCCCAAAGCACAGGTAAAATACTCCTCGCCTTTCCTGCGCTCCCAAAGCACAGGTAAAATGGTCCGCCCTTCTGACCGGGTAACGGGTCCCTGTGTATGGGAGGGGCATGGGGTTCGGGTGGTTTCTCGGGCTAGGTGAGAAGTCATCTACCTTAACCTAAAATAGCCCGAGGTGTCTACCCCATAGCCTGAGTTTTTTTTTCAATATAAGTACAGGTAGCTTCTGTGTGAATCAATTTGTAGATAGCTCATTTCCTGATTTCCCAACTTTCTACTGTCATAGATTATGTGCAATAATATTGACAAAGAACCACTGCGCTAGGGGAAGAATGTTTGAAAGGAACTCTGCAGCGTTGAGAGTTGGACTTTTTGATTTGCAAATTTGTGGTACACTCAGAGAATGTGATAGATGATGCGGCGGGAGAGGCAGCTAGATATGAGGACACAAAGGAGTTGCTCCGATGGCACAAAAATAGCATAATTGATTAAATTTATGCCTTTTATGCACCAGTATATTCCTTCAAGTATCTATGGATGTTGAAATTATATAATAGCATAAGAATCTTCTTTGGCATAATGTTCCCTCCCGGTCGTAGCCATTTTTATGCACTAGTAATGGTTGCATTGACTTTTATGCCGTTATTAATCGATTTCTCTATCTACTCCTTAATTTATCCAAAATTCTTGAATAGTGACATTTTAAAAATAAGATTAAGAATGCAATATGTTTATGTTTTATGTGGTACTCGGTCCATTCTAAATTGTAAGTAGTTTTAACTTTTCTAGATGCATAACTTTTATGATACAACTAGACAATTGTGTATTTCTACGTGCATAGCAAAAGCTATGTATTTAGAAAACAGAAAAGACTTACAATTTAGAACGAGTGAGTACTTATTTGACTATGATTGAATACTATATGATTCTTTATGTTTTGTTTTCCTTTTTCTAGAAATAACTATTTAGTGTTGGGTTAGTTGAGGTTCCACCTAAATCCAAAGAGAAATTTGTCAAACAGATTTGTATAAAAATTATTAGGATTCAACAAAGTCAATATCTAAAAATTTGAATAAAATAAATTCAAATTGTATAAAGTATTTGTGGATAAAATATGTATAACTAGATTTACAACCCAACCATCTTTTAATGCTAATTGAGTTTGTCGTAAGTATATCTGTAAAGACTTATAATTTGAAATGAAGGGAATAACAAATAGACCCTGGTAATAAACAGGCATGTATCCATTAATCCATAAATATGGTGCACCGGTGTTTTGCTTGGCTAGGTAAGGACACAAGCGAAACGGGCTCTATGTCAGATTGAATCTTAACTAGCAATGTTTGAAAATCATAATTCAGTTGGACGCCACCTTAAACTAAATGCAAAGGCGCCATGGTTTGTCGAAGTGTCATATAATGCACGTGTATGTGAGTCGGTGACCGGGAACGGGTCAATGGAAGTGTCAATATATTCTTAGATAGAGGCAATTCAGTATGCACACCTAAAAGTCAGTTTTTACTATTGTTGAAAAATGGTCTCGACAGTACTCCCGCTATTCTAAATCACAAGATGTCTTAGATACATAGATTTGTTATGCATTTAGATACAAATTATGTTTAGATATATAATAAAAATAAAAAAGTTAAAATGTATAATTTGGCTTGGAGAGAGTAGTGGTATAAGTCTATATTAAGAATTTTATACTTGATCGGATCGGATATACACAAAGTAATGTACATGGTAAAGGCGGTGCACGACGATGATATTCGTAAGGAAAAGGTAGAGCTGTGTATCTGTATGCATGCTGGATGCCAAGCAAGTGCTCTCTAGCTGACTACAAAATAACTATATATATATATTTATATATATATATATTATATATATATTATATAACTATATATATATATTATATATATATAAATATATCCATGTATATATATATATATCGTAAATATATATACATTATATATAATTAGTATATAAAATTATCGTAAATGGAGGTTGCTACAAAATAACTTATTTTATAGTTGGCTTTGAATATACTCTTCATATATATATACATATATATATATATACATACGATTATTAGTAACTCCTTACTAAGTAACTTATTCTATAACCTTGATTTATAATGTTTATACTAATTTATAATGATAATACATTTACCATGGGTTATTATAATTCAAGATGATACTTACCATAATGTTATACTAAATCACTTATGAAGGAGTTATCATAATCTAGTAAATTAGTATAGTAATTATCATAACTCAAAGTGGCAACAGAATAAACTTATTTTGTAGTTGGCTACTGAATATACTCTGTGTATTGCTATATATATATATGGGTACATCCTGTATATATAGAATGCACCTAGGCGGCGGACGAACCAACTTGGAGCAACCAGCTTGATTTAGCGAATATACATGCATGCATGGAATTTTTTTGCTTGAATCTTTGATAATACATTTTCTCCTAAACCGTAACATGGGTTACACCGTTTGTTGCATCCGATACTCAAAAAAATATTATGAGCAAAACTAGATCCAATATGGATATATTTTATCCTAAAACGAGTTGCATGTCAATGTACTACCCGATTGTAACTCTGTCTACCACCTAGTTGCAACTACTAGATTATAATTAGTTGCAACCATTGCTAAATATAAGTTACAACCAAGTTGCAATTGTGTTTGTAGAAGTGCTTGCAACTTATGGGTACAACATATTGCAATTACGTATTTGAAAAAAAACTTCATCAAATACAGCCTTCATTGCAACCATTACTAACTTGGCTTCAACCAAGTTGCAATTGTGTTGTAGAAGTGCTTGCAACTCATAGTACAACATATTGCAATTACTAATTTGAAAAAAACTTCAAACAAATTTTCTTCATTGCAACCATTGCTAAATACGCTATGACCACCGTGCAATTGTTTGTAGAATCTTGCAACTTATAAAAATATTGCAATTACGATTTGAAAAAAACTAGATCAAATATGGATGTCATTTTTTATCCTTTAAGCCAAATTGCAATTGTGTTGTAAAAGTGCTTGCAACTCATAGTACAACATATTGCAATTACTAATTTGAAAAAAAAAACTTCATCAAATCAGCCTTCATTGCAACCCGATTAGCTAAATACGCTTACAGATCAAGTTGCAATTGTGTTGTAGAAGTGCTTGCAACGTTATAGTACAACATATTGCAATTACGTATTTGAAAAAAAAAACTTCATCAAATACAGCCTTCATTGCAACCAGTGCTAAACACGCTACAACCAAGTTACAATTGTGTTGTAGAAGTACTTGCAACTTATAGTACAACATATTACAATTACATATTTGAAAAATAAACTTCATCAACTACAGTCTTCATGGATCTCGTTTTGTTAAGCATATTTTTTTCAACAACTTACTTCAAACAGAACTAAAATCGAATATATAGGTTTATAAGATATCGCATTTTTTTTGTTTGGAATCAACAAAAGATTCCCTGCATGCATGCTTCCTGGTGGATGGGTTGAGCTGTTAGGTGACATCACGTAGTTAGTTGTCTCCACTTAGTTTTGCATGTAGGAGCGTTGACTTACCTCACGCTCGTGGCTCGCCGCGCTCCGTGCGTCTCGCCGCGCTCCGTGCGTCTCGCGGCTCGCGCTCGTGTATTAGGTGTACTCGCTTTCACAAAATGCACCTAGATATATTTTAGCCTCGTCATATACACACGGTGGTATAGGGGTTATTTGGTTACAGACCACACCTGCCACACTCCATGTGCGGCGGCGCCGCGAACGTAGCGTCTAAAACCAACGCCACATTGTGGCGAGTTTCCAGTCTCTTTTCTGTGGTGCTCTCAGCCTTTT